AATTTTGATACACGTATTCAATATAAACTATATTTTAATCTAAAAATATAAAATAAGTTTAAATAATTAAATAAAATTAGCTCTTTATTGATTTTTTTATGGAAATAAACAAGTTGAAAAGTGTACATATATAATTTTTCGTTGTTAAAATGAGTGTGGTGACCTGTTTGAATCTCTTAGCTTTAACTTTTACTAATTTTGATAATGATCAAGTAAAAATATATAATTTTGAATTAGGTGAGAACCATAGATGTAAAGCTTGAGTTTGATGAAAATATTGTTTTAATAAGACTTTGTTCACTTAAATGAATTTGGGGAAGAGTGATTGAGTGGATTTAAAGGTAACTTTTTTTGTTGTTTATTTGAGTGAATTTGGAAGTAAGTAAGACTGAATTTGGAAGTAAAACTGAATTTGGAAGTAAATTTTTTTAATCTCCTACATTAATTCTCACAAATGTTGCTTCTAAATTCATTCTCACTTACTTCTAAATCACTCAAATAAACAATAAAAAAAATTAGTTTCAAATCCACTCAAACACTCTCCCCCAAATTCATTCAAGTGAACAAAGGATAAAAGATGATATATGAAGTAAATATGACAACAAAATATTTGTCCTTTTAGGTCATTTTATTTAATTATCCTAAATACGAGTACGAAAAAACAGTCGAAAATAGTAAGATTTATCTGATTAATATGGGGTTTTTGGCATTACCGTTTTGAATTGGACATTAAATTAAATATGTTTTTTCTATTCTAAATCAAACACAAATAATTTAAAATAGATTTAAAGAAGTGTTTATGAATTATTTAATTTAAAGTTTCAAGTTAGAATATTGTAGAGTCTAAAACTTTACAATATTTTCCTATTATAGTCAATCGGAACTTTTTTATTTTATGCATATATGAACATATATAAAATCCTATAAAATAATATAAATCATACATTTAAAATTATATTTTTAATATTATAGGAGATGTGTTTTAATTTATTTATACGGTTAATTAGTCTAAAATAGTTTCTAAGAAGTCTTGTATTGTTCTAATATATAACTACGATAGTAATAGGTCGAGTCGGATATAAATAGAGTTTACCCGTTATGTGATCTGTACAAATAAATATATTTGTTACTTGTCCGCTATCTATGTACTCGTTTAAAAAATATTTGCAGATATTTTAAAATTTACGGGTACCCGTATTTAAAAAATATATATTTTTATGACTTTTTAAAATAAATTTTGAATAAAATTACAAAAAATATATAATATAATATAAATTATCTATAAATTAAAAATTAATTTTAATTAAATTTAATTTAGTAAAACATAAATTAATTTTTTACTTTTATTTCTTATGGACAGCGGATACATGCGAGTATGAATAGTATAATACATGCACTCTACCTGTTTATAAGCAGATATTACAATATATGTCACCCGCAACTTGCGGGTATCAACTATCTATAGTGGATTTTATCTATAGATACTCGTAGGTGTGGGGTTTTTTGTCATCCTATATACAACCCCCAAGTTTTAGTTGGTTTCGTGTAAAAGTATTTGGTATTTGATCGTTCTCTAATATTGTGATGGCACGTTACATTTAATCTTAAGTCGTAAGAGACACTCAAGGATAAAAGGCATAAAAGTGATATTTGAACTTTAACCAATATCCCAAACATCTCGTTGCATCAAAATGAAAACTTTTGAATCACTGGTCCATGATCGATTTTTGTAAGGAACATCCCTTACTCGGTATAAAGACATTTAAGACGGTATGTTATATTAATAATCATTAATCATAATTTGATGCTCAGACATCATATGTATACCGTACTTAGTCGAAATTCCACGATGCATGTCAACATGACGAATCACAACTTCCCAACCTTAAGCTAAATAAGACAGAGGCTGGAGTGATTAAGAAGATTGTCCTTATCGTGGTAGTACAAAGTCAACTTCACTCAAACTAAAGTCAAAGCAAACATTAGTCTTGTCAAAATTCGTCTTTTATTGAGTTTGATGTTAATGTTGACTTTAGTTTTGTAAATGCTAGCCTTTAGTCGAGTTAAGGTTGATATTGATCTTATTTTATAAAATATTATGTTGGAGTTGATCTTGATCTTGTTCTTGCTAATATCAATATTGTCAAGTCTATGTCGATATTGACCTTTGTCTCGCATGGGTAGTTTATAGTCGAATTAGGATCGATACTAACCTTGCTTTTACCAGTGACAACTTTTCGGTGAGTTTGGATCAATATCAATGAGTTGGAATTAATATTAATCCTAATGTTTATAAGATCAACATTTGATTGGGTTTGACTTTGACCCATTAATATTAACATATAGTTGAGTTGAAGTCGATACTAACATTGTATTGACAAATACAGAGTCTTCGTATGAATTTAGAGTGATATTCACCTTAGTTTTATTAATATCACAGATAAAATTAATGTCAACAAATTTTGTTGCAATTTTTCTTAACCTTAGTTGTAAAATTGAGTTGTTTATGTTTTCAAAATAACAATTTTATTACTTGTAAAATATCAAAACACAATCATACTGTTAAATAAAACTAAATTTAATTGACAAAACGAAAAACAATAACGTTTACATATTATTGCATAAAAAAATCCATATCTACCATTCAGGTATGACTTTTAAAAGTGTAGTATACAAAGTTAATTCAAATAGCATAAAATATTTCATAATATAAGATTTATTTTAAAAAATAGGAATACTGTTCAACCTAAAAGTAATATACTGTTTTTTATTAATTTAAAACGACACTATTCAATAAAACATATATTTTGGTTACACGTGATATTATTATTTTTACAGAAAATTGATGATATTATTTTTAAAGCAAACAATTTACAAAATAATAACAAAAAACAATAATAAAGTATTCACACTATTAAAGTAATTTTATTTTATTATTCAACCATCATATAAAATAACTTATATTTAGATTTTGAAAAACCTTATAAATTAGTATTTTCTAATATTTTTTTTAAAAAACATCTCACTTAAAATTTATAAAAAACTAAAAAGTTTTACGTTAAAAAATTTATTTGAAAATGTTACCTATGTGCCAACAAATTATCAGAAATCGATAGATTTATTTTAAATCCTTTCGAACAACATGCTACCACAAATGCATACAAAATCATTAAAATATCTTAAGAAAAGGTAAGAGATAAATATACTCCAATAAAAGTTCTAACGAGACATAAGCTTTAAGACAAAATTCTTGTGCTAGTATCCGATATTAAAAAAATAAGTTAAAAACTTATAAAGAATATAACAAAAAGTAAGAAAACTATTTATAAAGATATAATATTTTTTATAAAGCAAAACTCAGTCAACTGCTTTTTCTATTTATGAACGCGATCTTTTAATAATAAAATAATGATTTAATTAATAATATTGTCTATATATATTTAGGTTTTTAAATTGTTTTAATTCTTATTTTTTTCTTCCTCAATTGAATTTTTAAAAGTTTCAATCACTTCGTTAAATTGATTTGAACATAGTTTGTATGATGTTTTAAAATTTTTGAATCTGCCACCTATCAAAATTTTGAATCATTTTCTATCTGAAAGCGTGATGTATTAAAATAAGAAGAGTTTTAAGTAAAAGATAATTCAAAATTTAATACATGATACAAATTTTAACTAGTAACACCTGTTAATGGTAATTTAACGGAATATATCATATTAAATTTAAAAGAAAAATAAAAACTCAATTAAATTAAAAACAAATAAGAAACAAAATATATTAAATATAAAAATTAAATCACTAATTAAACCTAAAAGTAAGCTTTATTCAAAGAGTCACTCTTACTCATTGACTAAATCCTTATATCCTTTTTCGATAAATCCATTTATTACACGTTACTGTCGACAACATATATACAATTTTCTTGGAGTGATTATTTATCAACGTTAAATGAATTAGCTGAATTAATGGTTTGAACTGAAACCAATATTTGTGTTTGAAAATGAAGTTTTGGTTAAACGAGAAGAACGGGTTATAACTCAAAAAGAATTTAAAAGAAATAACTGGGTTTAGAAAAAATTAATGAATTCACTAAATAACACGTATTTTTTTAAATTATTTTTTAAAGACATTTGTACTTCTAACTTAAATATAATCTTATATTTTCTTTATTTGTTTGTGTTGACACATAGCTTGTTTTTGAGTCGTGATATTTTAAAGTGAAATTTAAATTTAAAATTTATGTATATAATTTTATTTTTTATTAGTATTGTTCCGTATGTTGTATTGATGTATTGAAAAGAAAATAATATTATTATTTATTGAAGTTAATTTTATCTTCGTCAATTCAATATCTAATTTGACCATAACTTGGATTTCGTGTATTGTACTGCAAATCTAAGTCTGATTACGTTTTATGTTACCCCTTATTTTCTAAAATTCAATTGTAAGTATAACAAATTCTTTATCTTTTCTACACGGAATGAGTTTAGACAACGTAATCCACTTTTACCTTATCTACATTTGCCTTTAACATTGCAGTTTAACAAGATAAACGGACAAATTCGTTGTTTACATTTATAAAATTCATTCACTGGACAAATTGCTCGTAAAATTATTTGCATTAATTAATGAATGGTGACTAAAATTTGATTAAAATTTTAGTCATAAAATTCGAATATATATATTTGATTATATTTTTAAGAGCACAAATAGCATCTTTCATTATTTAATATACTACTGAATAGCAATAATGGAAGCAAGGATATGTACAATTAAATAAAGTACTGCTAGGGTCGTACCCCAAAAAATAATGGAACCATGGATGGGAACTTGGAAGTGGTGTTGACTGTAGACGTAGGATCCTCCAGCATGTGAAGACTGATGATTGCACTCAAAAAACCGTATTTTCCGTAAGCAGACCACGTGTCGGCCTGTAAAAATTTTCATTTTCTGCTCTTTCGCTTCATTTCCAAACAAATAAAATATACAAAAAAACACGAAAACACCACGCCTCTCTTCATTTTTTTTTCTTCAGTATCTGCACACACATTTGTTCTCTCTCCCTCCAAAATCGCGTGGATCTCTACAGAAATTTACATCCGGTTTTATTTCCCTCGCGCATTCTTTCTCCGTCGAAGCCTCTTACCAGATCGCCGCACCGATCCATCTCCTCAATCTACATCGGTAATCGATCGTAATTCCTAACAGTAGAAAGATCTAGGGTTCCTGCTGAATCAGCAGCTGGCTCCAGCACATTTGTTTCATTCCGATATAGAATCTGGTTGGCGCACGCAGTTTCGATTCGAAGGCATTGAAATTCAGCTCGCTCAAGCAGGTTTCGCTTTGTTCTTTGCGTGGTTCGGTTCGTGAATGAGAGATAAGGTCACGGTTTCGATTAGATGAGCATGGAGGTCGTTAGCGATACGGCGTCGTTGGATGTCGACTTGTTGCAGCTCCCTGAGGTGTCCTCTTTGGCACTCAAATCTAACCTAAGTTTCGTTGAGACGCTCTTCGAGCAGTGGCTTTCGCTTCCTGAAAGTCATCGATTGGTACGCTTCGTAACATGTTCCTCGATTAGGAAATCAACATATTGCAACTTTGCTCATTTCGCAATTTTTATTACATATCCATTCGTAGTAGCAACTTCTGCTGTCAGATAATAAATTAATAATCATTTGAATAATAATACTCAAATCCACAATGTTTTTGTGAGAATGATGGATTATTAATTATTATTTATGTTAATGAAAGATAGTCGTTGGTGTGGGGTTCCATACACCTACTTCATGAGCATTATTATGATTTTTTTCCTAGATATACTCAACATATTTTTATGTTAACAAGTGATTATGTCAGAAACCACCGCAGCTTATTGTAGGAAGGACTATTGTCTACTTTCACAAGCCATATAAATAAGTCTTGATGATACTCATGAATGAAATATGGATTATTAATTTTGTTTTTGAAAATTTGAGTTTCCTTATTGGTCAAGTTTTCCCCTTCAAACAGTATTTAAAGGATAAATTCGTGCATTTGTGATTTTATTCTTAATCTTATGTCTCACTTGTTGATATGTGTAGGTAACATCGTTGCTAAATGAAGCAAAGTCAGGTGCTCCCTTGAATGTACCAGGGAATTGCTCTAGTCCGAATTCTTCAAGCAATTCTTTGCCCTCCATGTTTCCCGCTGGCACTGCACCGCCTCTTTCGCCAAGAAGTTCATCTGGCTCCCCTCGCATAGTGAAACATAGAGTTGGCCCTTCTAACTTGGGTTCTCCTTTGAAGGTTGTCAGTGAGCCAGTAAAAGAATTGATTCCTCAGGTTAGGTCCATCTGGTAACTGTTTATCAGTATATTCTTTATTTATATGTGATGCTTTCCTGTATATTTTTATTTATCATGCTTTTCTGTTTTTCCTCGTCTGCTGACTGTTTGTGAGTATGTACTGTGTTTATTTTTCTTCTTTTTTGTTTATCACCCTCTCCCCCCCCTTTTCATGCTATATATATATATATATATATTTTTTTTTTTTTTTTTTTTTTTTTCTTTCTAATAACATAGATACTTGTGTGCTGCAGTTCTACTTTCAATTTGGGCGTCCTCCTCCAAATGAACTGAAAGAACAATGCCTTGTTAGAATTGACCATTTATTTCATGATCACATGGATGGTCTGCAGATACATGGTGAGATATTGGGAATATAGAGGCGTTATAGTCTAAAGGAGCAATTGGCAATTGGGGGAAATTGTGATTTCCAATAGCGTGCACATCCTAGCTTTTTAAGCAAGCACCACCCCTCATTTTTAAGTAAAAAAAATAGTTTAAATGCTCCCTCAAGTCAATACGTGACTATCTATCTGAAAACCACTCTGTAATAAAATGAATAGTTACAGTAATACTAGCTTAATTATGTTCTACTTGTTTCTTTTGGTTGGCAGAATTCAAGACAATTACTAAGGAAGTATGCAAGCTGCCATCTTTCTTTTCCACATCTCTCTTTAGAAAGATTGACGATGGAACAGGATTTGTGACAAGGTGTGTGCTTTATTATTATCATTATAATTATAACAAAATTATGCTTCTGTATTTTTTTTTGCTGCGGATAGTGGTTGTTTGATTTAGCTGTTTGGATATCTAAAAAGTGTTTATTTAGATGTCATGACATTGAATAGAGCTGGAACATGATAAGGACTGTGTAATTATTCAGAAAAAGGAAAGAGCTTGGAACCCGAAAATCCTGTATTTCTGACTATCCCATTATTTATTTTTGATAATTAATTTCTTTATTCAACTGGCTAATCAAGTGAGTTCTTCATTATACAAAGCCTTAAGCTTACAAGATACTCAAGTTTGACCTTATTCACATATTACCCTCCTGCTATAATGTATTAATATTTAGTTCCCTTTCCCAAATAAGCCGTCCTTTAAAAGATAGAAACATTCTTTAGTTCCCGTAATATTGAGTGATTCTTTGACATATTGGAGCCATCTTCAGTGAGTTATTCTGAGTTTTACGTGTTTATAATGAAAGTATAAATGGAGGTGGTACTGGTAGTGATGGATCTATCCTTGATTTATATGTCAAGCTCAAGGGAGGTGGATGCATTAGTTTACATGTTATATCAATGGCCAATAGTTCATTTGTTTGATTCTATTTATGTATATTTCACAAATGCCATAAACAGTTTATCTATGCCCTGTCCCCTATCCGTAATTTAGTTGTGGTTTCAAATATCTCTTCTACTAGTTTCTAGGATTTTAAATTTGAGTTAATTGCATTATATCATTGCAAAGTCAACAATGATGTTTATAGTATCTAATCTGAGGAGTGATTAGGAAAGTTGTTAGAAATGGACCTAAAACAAGCAAACTAGTATGGTTTCTTGGTCAAATTAGTAGTCATCTGATACATATAACAGACTTCAAAACTGATAGAAATCACTTGAAAGAGCGTGTTCATAAAAATATATTTTCCAGGGGAATGTTTTCTTTTCCAGGGAATTTCCTTTGAGAGATTTTGAAAAAGAGCCCCCCCCCTGAAAAATATGTAACGGCCATTTTGGAATGTAATATTGACTTTATCTGTTGTAATTTCTACTAAGTATTGAATTTGGACATTTAGAAATGAACCTCGTTTGACATGTCAAAAGTGTATTAAAGGCAACCAGGAAAGTATTGTCATTTGAAAGATGAATGATGGCTTGTGGAAGAGGCTGTGGAAAGTTATGAATTACTACATCATATAAATTTTTATATCTTCTTCCCTCTGGAGTGCTTTCTTCCTTTTTGCTATCAACAAACATGATCTTAACTGAAAACTATGTCAGAATAGTTTTGACTAGAAAGGAAAGAACATTAAATTTCCTCTCTCGATCATCTTTTGAATAATGAAGGTTTTTAGTTTTTCCTACTATGACATGTAAAATATTTGATGCTGTACTGTTCAAGGTAACAAATGAAGGAACCAAGCATTAGTAGGAAGAGGCAAGTTGGCAGAAACAAGCATATGCCCCAAACTTGCTTTTATGCATTGTTTGGTCAAGAATTCTCTATGGTTCCCTTGTGTTTGGTGTTAAACCGGAAACTACTCTTGCAAACTGCTATTTCAATTCATTATGGCAGTATGCTGATTGATTTCTTGCTTGAACGACCTTATGTTTATTAATAAAAAGAACATGCTTTTTATTTATGTCTCCTTCCATGACTTAGGTAGGAACTGTACTTGAATGGTTCTGTTCCCCGTAATTAGTAATTCCCAATAATTATACTTAATTCCTTGATTTTATATTCCTATAGGAAATCATTTATTGATTATTGGGTCAACGGAAACATGTTGACAAAAGATATAGCGACCCAAATATTCACAATTTTAAAGCAACCACAGCTCAAATACCTTACTCAGGTATTTTACTTCTATTGCATTTATATTTTATGCCTTTGATTTCATCTAGTTTTCTTCTCCTCCTCTAAGAGTTACACTTAGCCATGACCAGGTTATATCTATCAAAATATCATTTCTTGGGTTCCTTGATTCTAGTGTGATTGATTATTTTAGTGGCACTTTTGTTGATTTTCTTGGCTATGGTAGTATATTCTTGTTGATCTTCTTTCTAACTATATGATACTTCATGTCAGGATGATTTTAAACCTGTGCTACGTGAACTTTTGGCAACTCATCCAGGATTGGAGTTTCTGCAGAGCACACCTGAGTTTCAAGAGAGATACGGTTTGTTTTCCATCTTGGTTGTAACCTTGTATATAGGGGTTCATGTAAGTTCATATGTGGACATTGGTTAATAAATTTGAAATTCTTGCCATACTTGATTTAAACAAAACCATTGTGTGGATTATTGGAAGGCATGAATGTCTTCTTCTACCCTGGAGCAGCTTTCTGTTGATGTTGCCTTATAAAGGACTAATTTTAACTGCAGTAAAGTTTTATGGCACTGTTGTTCTTCCTTTGATTGCTTGAGTGGAGTCACTATTTTTGGATATCAAGGGAGATTGGGCAGATCTTCTGCATTATTCTCACACATCCCGAATTAGCCTTTTGTAAACCTTTTCTGCTAAATTTCTGACACTCCCCTTGAGTTAAACTTCTTGTTTCTGTTGAAATGTTTTCTGTAGTGTTCTATCCTGACCCTTGTTGGATAAATCAAGTTCTACATACTGGGTATGTCCTTAAACTTGTTTTCAGATATTTTACTGGAAGATATGTAGAGAGAGACATTACAGTTGAGTTAGTAATCAACAAATTACACATTCAATGCCCTGGAGAATGCTTTATTGTTTGTGCTAGGTCTTCTGACATATCCTTTATCTATATCTGACCCCTGTATTGGATTTATTGAAATGAATTTGGAGCAACTTTTTATGGTTTGGTTTTGTTATACTATCCCATAATATCAGTGTCATATCTTGGAATATTTTAGAGTATCTTAGGCGGATTAGGTTGCTTATCATAGTTTGCATGCTTTCTAATTCGTGTGATTTTGTTAGCTTATTTAGTTAGGGTTACTAGTACAAAAGTAAGGATTAGTAATTTAAGTCAATATGAATTTTAACACATCATATAATGTCAAGTCAATATGAATTTTATTGTATTTATCCTTTTTCTCTCCATTTTTTCCTTCTAAACCTAATTCCAACATTATATACTAAAGCCATAGTCCACTTTGAGAGGCATTTCTCTTTTTTGCTATGTAGAATTAGCTGAACTACTCCATTAAATAGAATAGTCATTGATCATCTTCAATCCTCAGCTTTATTTTTTGATCATCTCTTGAGTTTTGCCTTTGACATTCGCATCTATTTGATACCATCCATGCTCCCTTGGCTCCAATCATTTCATTTTTGACCTATCATATAATTATTTCGTTGACGAGTTCCCTAAAACGCAAATCTTCTCTAGTTTGGCCCTTATTTTTTTCTGTTTTAAATACCACTCTTGAGGCTGATTAACTGTTTTAATCTTTGGTTGTTAAACCAGACACCATTGTCTTGTTCAGAAGTCACCAATTGACCATCCCTCGGGGTGCCAATATTGAAGAACCTCTTATGTGCATTTATGAGCTATTTTTCACCTGCTGTTCTTGATGGTGCATGGGCTCCACATGTGTCGTCTTGTTTAAAGTATCCCTAGCCTCTTTTTTGGGGTGTAGTTCTGATAGGATATAATGTGTGTATGATAGAAGGAAACAAATTAAGAAATAGTGTTAGTTAGGTTGTAAGGGTGAGTGAGGTTTCCTTTATATAGTTGGAGGGTCCTAATATGCAGGGGACTTTTTGGCAATTTTGTAGATTGAGCTTTAGCTCTCTGTGAAGGGGAAACCCTTGGAGGAGAGACTGCTTTTCTATTTTTTGTGTTCTTTTCAGTCTATACAGTCTATACCATAAAGAATATTACTTTTCTTTCTCTTTATCAATTCGGGGTTCCTAACAAGTTCTCTGTCCTGCTTAGCCAGCTTTAGCATGAGGGAGACTTTTAGAATATCACAGTCATGGTTATTGGATTGCAGGAGCTAGTTTATGAATTGTACTTGGAAGATCTATTTTACGCTGTTGTGTGACTATATTATTGTGATTGAGAAGAGATATTTTATGAATTTGTGAATCAAATCGAATCAATTTATAAATCATACAATAGATGAACAATACAAAATATGGCATTTTAAGTAAAGCGACATGAGCAAAACAAGGCTGCATGTTTCTGACACTGCATTTTTTTTTTCAATCCAATGTACTGTGCTTTCATGAAATTTGATTCAATCTTTACCTTACAAAATATAATTAGGTATGTGTTCCTTTTAAAATCGTTGGGTTTTGCCTGCAGCTGCTATTTATAAGCTATTGTTTGGACAATTAGTTTTTTTCTACTCAAGACCATGCAAAACTGTGTCCTGTCAAGTAGCTCTCTTGATTGATCCAAATGTATTGGATGCTCTTTAAACATTTACTTTTCTCCTGCTTAGGCAATCCACATACCTGCCAGCTCTGTTTGTTGATTGTTTTACACTTACTGAAATAATTCTAGCCAGCATTTTCCCCTGTAACCAGTTTTTCAACTTTGTTGACATTATCATCTGATATAATGTTCTTTTTTCGTCTTCGTAGTGCAATGTTCATAACTACTTGTTTTTCTGATGTTCCAGCTGAAACTGTCATATACAGAATATATTACTACATTAATAGATCAGGAAATGGTCGTCTCACCCTGAGGGAGCTGAAGCGTGGAAACATAATTGATGCAATGCAGCATGCTGATGAAGAAGAGGACATAAACAAGGTTTTGAGGTAGGTGTACTTTTTGAAGATGTCATTTTCATTAACTATGTAAAATGACCTTGTTTTTTGAAGATGCCTTACTGTTTTTACCTTAATATTATCTACAGGTACTTTTCTTATGAGCATTTTTATGTCATATACTGCAAGTTTTGGGAGCTGGATACAGATCATGATTTCTTGATAGACAAAGAGAATCTTATCAGATATGGTAACCATGCGCTTACCTATCGAATTGTTGATAGAATATTTTCCCAGGTTGGTGTGGATTACTATATCATCTGTTGCTTCTGTCTTCTAATTTGACTATTGTTGTCTAGGGCCACAGACAGCCCAAAGCCCTACCCTTCTCTTGTAATACACGTGCATGTCTTTTCACATCTGTTTATATGAATTATCAGAGCATTTGTTCACGATGCAAAAATTGATTCTCTTCAATATTATCTCAGGTTCCTAGAAGATTTACCAGTAAGGTTGAGGGAAAGATGGGTTATGAAGATTTTGTTTACTTCATACTGTCAGAAGAGGATAAATCATCTGAGCCAAGTCTTGAATATTGGTATTTTGTTTCCCATCCATTAAGATATTTTCTTAACCCCCCACCCCAAAACTACTCTCATTAGGTGTTTCCTTTATATTGAATGATTTCAAATTACGAAATCTAGAAGATATAAGCAATATAAAACTGTTTTAAATGTTTGCATGGTGAAAACAATCGCTCAAACAGGTTTTATTCATTTAATATTTTAAACCAATTGGAAACTGTCAGGATACACAAATAAGTGAAGTTAGTTAAGATAGTTAGAATATTAATGAGTTAGTTACTTAAGGTATTAGTTAGATATAAATAGGAAAGAGGGAGAGGAAGAGGGGATGAATTTTGTAGACTGAGCGTTAGCTCTTTGTGAAGGAGAAGTCTTTGAAGGAGAGAGTGCTCTCCTATTTCTTGTTCTTTTCATTCTTACAAATTGGTCTGACCTGCCAAATCTACAGTAACGGGTCATTATAGAAAGTCGTTTGAGTGGTTGGAAAGATGGGCCCGTGAACAAGGGAAGGTGGTTGTGGAGCTGAAAGCTGATTTTCCATACATGAAAGAAATCAAATAACTGTTGCAAGAAATCAAGAAAAGCAAGAAACTGTCTGAAGAAGGAGAGTACTCGGTAATAATGAAGAGAAGGAAGAAAGATATCTACGTAGTAGTTGATCAGATGAGGAAAGAGTAGAATTGCTAAGGCCTTGGATTAAAAGGGTGGAGTTGCCCATATTTGAAGGGAATAACTCCTCACGGTTGGTGTCACAAGCAAATCAAACACCAAAAGATCAATTGCAGGGGTATTTCTTTTCAGGGTTGCAATCTAACATTCAAAAATTAGATTCCACCATAGGATCCAAAAGACTTGATTAGAGCTATGGAAATTGTTTGAGACGGTTCTGCTATGAAGAATAACACCCTCTATAGTTAAGAAAAAACCAAAAAGGAAGTGAGATTTGAAACAGAAACATAAATTATGATGGAAGAAGGGGAGGCATCAATAAAGAGAGAGAAGATTATGGACTGTGAAGGTTAGTTTCTTGATAACCAAATTACAAAATTAATCAATAAGAAAGTTGAAGGTGGAAATGCAGCCAAAAATCCTTTTTTCCCATATTCAGATTTACGTAATATGAATAAGAAATCATTTCTGGACTTAGATTTGATAATGAAGGTGGTTGGAACATCAATAAATATTGGAATTTAAACTTACTGGTTCAGAGACTTTTATACAAAAACCACTCATCCCCACCATCACCCAACTTTCGGACCTGAATTTGAATGTAGTGGCCCGAGCATTCCCCCACTATGATAGGACAAAATCACTATGCTTTCAGGAAGAGTAGATAACGATCACGGTGATGGAGATGAGCTACGTGATAAAGCTTCCATTGTTCCAACCTTAAGGACAAGGTTGATTTTTGGAGGAGTGTATGTTAGGATACACATAAAAGAGAAATTAGTTAAGATAGTTAGAATATTCATTAGTTAGTTATTTGAGGTGTTAGATATAAATAGGAAAGAAGAAGAGGGGAGGAAGAGGGGGTGAATTTTGTAGACTGAGTGTTACCTCTGTGAAGGGGAAGCCCTTGAAGGAGAGAGGCTCTCCTATTTCTTGTTCTTTTCATTCTATCCAATAAAAAGTTTTCTTTTCTTTCTCTTTTCATTGCTTGGTTCCTGACAAAACCAATTTCAAACACATCCGAACATCTTCCTTGGGATAAGAAAGCCCTTTGTGTAGTAGGGTAGAATGCTTAAGTTTAGCCTCAACAAAAGGTAATGCTGAAAACAGGACAGGGGAAATGGATTGATGGAAATTCGGGCGGCTTGATTTATGGAATAAATGGAAGAACATTGGATGTTTGATTATTTTTTTCTTCCCTTTTTCTTTTTCTTGAAGCTTTTCACTTTTTTTTTCTCTTCCCTCTATTGTTTTCATACTTAGTACACTCTTAAGCAAACATTGGATATTTGATCTTTTTAGTTGACTTTAATTAGTTATTATTGGTGATTTGATTTGTCATGATTAGGTTTAAGTGCATTGATTTGGATGGAAATGGAGTTTTGACACGGAATGAACTGCAATTTTTTTATGAGGAGCAATTGCATCGAATGGAGTGCATGGCCCAAGAACCTGTGCTATTTGAGGATATACTGTGCCAGATTATTGACATGGTTGGACCTGAGGTTTGTCTCTCAATCTTACTTCAATCGATTCTTCATTATGTTGTTGGGAAGTCATTCTAGATGGAATGTAATCTGTTGTTTAAAACTGTGTTGTCTTGGAAAAATAACATACCAATTCCACTGTTTTGGTTGCTCATTTTCTTGTCCTTTCTCTATCCTTTTGGTTGATTTTATGGTTTATTTGAGATACTCTTTTCCTTAATTTTAAATTCAAATTCTTGATTATGTAGGATGAGAGCTATATAACTCTGCGAGACTTGAAAGGCGGTAAACTCTCAGGAAGTGTTTTCAATATCCTGTTCAATCTGAATAAGTTCATGGCCTTTGAAACTCGTGACCCATTTTTGATTCGTCAGGTAGATGAATATTTGATAGAAATTATTTCGCTGTTGAGTCAGTGTGAGTAACTATTTTTGGTGAGTTTTGATTGTATTGGTATATGCCCTTCTGTGAACAGGAACGTGAGAATCCTACATTGACAGAGTGGGATCGCTTTGCTCATAGAGAATATATAAGGCTTTCAATGGAAGAAGACGTAGAGGATGCATCCAATGGTAGTGCAGAAGTTTGGGATGAATCACTAGAGGCTCCTTTCTGACATCATTTATGTAAGTTTAACTATGATAATACTTATCCAATTTATCTTGCATTTTTAATATAATTTGGAAAAAGGGGTCTATTCAAATCAGATTGGGCTAAATACGGATCAGGGCAGCACTAAGCTAGACTGGTCTTAAGCAGGTTGCAGGCATTCGAAGCCAGCAAATCAAAATTATCATTCTCTTTCAATTTAATTACTTTTGCACATGCAGAGCATTTTCAGTGGCATTCTCGCAGTAGAGATTTAGAAATTTCAATGACGGGGGCATAATTGTTTTACAATGCTCTGTATTAGGATTTGGACATGGAAGCTTGCATTCACCGTGCAGCTTGCCTCGTGATCAATTGATTGTGTTATTATCAATTGGGGTATTACCGCATTAACTATCGTGAGAAAATGTTTTATTGTGAGAATAAGAGGGTTCAATAATAACCGTTGGATTAAAATAAACTGTCAATATAAAATCTAACGTGACTATGCATTCTATTCTTTCATTCACTTTCTCGTGTGTCTCTTCATCTCCTATTTTTTTTTCTTTCCAAAATCGTCATTTTCTCTATCCATTTCTATGTCCAACTGACTTCAACAATCACTCTCGTCTCAAATGTTTGATGAATTTAAACATGAATATCACATGAAATAAAAAAACGAGATGAAGGGAACGCAAGTTCATCGCCGTGTCCAATACTAGTGACATGTTGTATGGCTTCAAATGGAATGTTCAGGGGCTACGCCATGGATTCATGTAGGTCTGGCAATTGAAATTTTTTGGATAATTAAATGTGGCCTTGGTAATTCCTTCATGAGGTTCTGCGGTTGGGCTTGTGATAGGTCGCTTTTACTTTTTAAATAAAAAAGCATTTCATTAAACATTGGAGTGCTTGAAGGAAGTCAGAGGGCAGAGGAATTGGTGGTTTTGTAAAGAGTGACGGGATACACGAGCAAGAGTGCGCGTGGGAGAGTAGAATAAATGTAAGATTTTAAATTATATAGTTATATTGACCATTTTTTTTTGTCTGATGGTTATTATTGAACCCTCTCATTCTCAAAATGAAACACTTTCTTACAACTTAATAGTCTGTATGATAAATAAAGAAGACAAGCAAATATATTGGTTGAAAAGACAAAAGCCCATATCTATCTATCTATTCATTGTACAGAGTACAAGTATCTCAAGTAACTTTTGTTACCTGCCCCTGCCCTGTTGCCCATAACCCGTGCTTTCATCGATATTGACCCAAACTGTGACTTCCTTCCTTGATGCAATAGCCTTTCCCAAATATAGCCATTGTGATTTTGTACCTGGGCTGTTCACATTTTGCTTCCCTAGCCACCTTTCTGTTCTCTTCATGCCCCCGTAATTCCGTAAACTTACATCGGGGATGGGGAAGAGAAAAGAGGTGACAATTATCCCCCCCTCCATTTTTTATCATGTTATCTGGTCATTTTTTGGGAGCCCTTTTGGTCAACTGACTACTATGCAGTGTGTATAATTTTGTATCCTCTTAATTATGAAAGCATTTTAAAATTACAAGTTCATCTAGTTTTTAAAATTATACATTATTAGTGTATGAAAAGTATTGATGCCGCATATCGGCTTGACTGGCCATTGTTCAGACAGACACGACTCAAGTTCAGCTTTGAACGCCAACGTTGCCCCCAAAGGGGAGGAATTCCAAGCTTCTGCTATGGAATATGTTTGGATGGGGGCCAATCAGCAACAACGATATTCAGACTCGCATATGATAAATATTGGGATCTTGGAAGTTTTGTCGCTGGACCAAAGTCCATGTAAAGTGAGGAGCTTTGCTGAGGTGATTAGCCAAGTTGAATTAAATTGACGTCATTTTTAGACGCTTACCATAAGTAGCGAGATTTCTGATGGATTTTTAGTAATTTGATTTACTGATCGAGTCACTTTTACCTCGGATCTGTACAAGAGTACATTCCTGATTTGTTTCGTCAATTATGGCCCAGGCTGTTATTTGTTTTTACCGAATTTCTTTTTCTTTTTAGGCTACTGAAGAGTTTAAAGAAAACTACACAAAAAAGGTCATGTATTTTCTGCGTTATTCGATTTGTCTGATGCATGCAGAGGCTGTACATTGGATTTGCTCTATCTACTATTTAGAGGAAACTTCAGTTCACTTCTATCCAATTTGACTGATATTACTACACTGATGTGGACTTATAAAAGTGCTAGTAAAATATACTCAATATCATTTTTGTATTTAACGAAATATTAAGAACGTAGCACTTATTTTCAAATGAAGAAGGAAATTAAAACGCCAATGTTTAACTTTTCTGAACTTTGGATTACAGAATTTTAATTGCTATATTTTATAATAAATTTATATATAATATTTCTAACTGCATTGCAATTTTATTTTGAATCACCGCGTCATTGTATTCAGTTATTTTTTGTTCTTCATTTCATTCCATAACGTCTTTTGAGTGTATCATTTTATAGTTCTCTAGTTTATCTGTGGTCAAATTAATTTATGTCAGATTATATATGTTTTAATATTTATAAAGATCTAAATGTTTGGTTTTAATAAGAAAAGATTTATCTGTGATCAAGGAGATTTTTTCTCTCTCAATGGGTAAAAGTTCACACTTTCATTGGTTAGGGTTAAACATGTTATACGTTTTATTTTTTATTTTTTAAATAATACTTAAATTTTTTGAAAACCGAGTTTAACCAAAACGAGTTAGTAACATAACGTTTTTTTAATATGGATTACAAATGTTTTAAGAAAATAGTCTTTTTACATTTGAGTAATTTAATGTACAATATTTGATTAGGTGATAGTATGTAAACATGTAGGGGTTAAATGATCTGTATGTATACTTTAATTCAATTTATAATTAAATTATAGTATAACAAGATAGGGTTAATTTTTTTACTGAAGCACATGATGTGTAGTGACATGATATTATAAAAATTATTTAAATTTAAATAAATGTTTCCATTTAGTTACAGATTTTTTTTGGAAAATTAAAGTCACTAAAATTTCTTGTAATTATTTTAAACATTGACATTTAGATTGCTTTCTAATAAGCTAATGATGTAAAAAAAGTTATACTGGGTGTATTACGATTAAATTCTAAAATATAAATATTACTCGTTACCAATGCCTACTATTTCTCAGTCAGTATGAAACTAATAATTTTTTAGTAAGAAGTATGAAACTAATCTGAATACACAATATTCTTTTCAAGATAAAATACACAATAAATTTTGAAAGTAAGCTGAATATGATAAAACGAATATAATCTATCAATAAGAATAAAATATACTCGAACTGACATCAATTTGTTTTATCGGTTAATAAAAAGAACACTCATTAAACTTGTTTTTATATTTTATAAATAAAAAAATTAAGAAACGAGGAATCCAGTGGAGGCTATATCAGAGTATCATGTCATCATCTAATAATAGTTGTTACACCAAATAAGATTACTAATTTAAGCAATACCTATTCTAAATGGTTTCAAAACGCATATCTTGTATTTACAATTAAAATATTCTTTTAAAGATAAATTTTTATATTCCATCCAAAAGGGAATATTTTTGTCGTTAAATATATATATATTTTTTGAATAAATATGTTAAAAATCTTGACCATCTCTGTATTTTCCAAAATTTGACTACACTATATTTTTTACTTATAATACGGTGAGTTAAATATAATAAGGTGATTATTAAAAATATAAAACTATATATTGTGGAAAATTTAAAAAGAAAAGAAAAAGTAAAATTGGGGGTGGAAAGTTTGTGACGAAGGTGGAGCAGAGAGTTTGAAAAGGTGGCTGAATATTTAACAAGAGCACGGGCCCACAATAGAATTAACTGAATAACAATACTAGTGAATCCACGAATATCCTCTCATATATTCTTCACAAACACTGACTATTCTATATAAACACAAACACGTCTTAAATTCCACACAACAGAAAATGCACCAAGAAGAAGAAGCCCCCAAAAAACAACAATACCAAGCGTTGGAAGAAATCGGTCGAGGCAAATTCGCCACCGTCTTCCGCTGCTTCCACCCTTCCTCCAACCAATTCTACGCTCTCAAACTCATCAACAACCGCCTCCTCACCGACGCCACCGACCGTCACTGCCTCGAAGTGGAGGCCAAGGCCATGACCTTCCTCTCTCCCCACCCCAACATTCTCAAAATCATCGACGCCTTCCAAGACGCCCACACCTCCACCATCATTCTCCAGCTCTGCCAGCCTCGCACCCTCTTCGACCGCATCGCCGACGGCCCTCTGCCGGAGTCCCACGCCGCCTCCCTCACCAAACAGCTCCTCGAAGCCCTCACCCACTGCCACGCGCTCGGCCTCGCCCACAGAGACATCAAACCCGAAAACCTCTTGTTCGACGAAGCCAACAACCTTAAACTCTCCGACTTCGGCTCTGCAGAGTGGTTCGGTGAGGGCAGGAGCATGCGCGGCGTGGTGGGCACCCCTTATTACGTGGCGCCTGAAGTGATCATGGGGAGAGAGTACGACGAGAAAGTCGATGTTTGGAGCTGTGGGGTTATTCTTTACACAATGTTGAGTGGCATTCCACCCTTCTATGGCGACTCTGCTGCAGAAATTTTCGAAGCTGTTTTAAGGGCTAATCTTAGGTTTCCTTCCACAATTTTTAGGTCTGTGTCTCTTCAGGCTAAGGATCTTCTTAGGAAGATGATCTGTAGAGATCCCTCTAGACGTATATCTGCACTTCAAGCATTGAGTATGTTTATTCCTTTCAATGTTCTAAATAAAAGTTATGATTCTTCTGTTACGCTATTAATTTATCTGTTATTTATTTGGTTGCAGGACATCCATGGATTTTTAGTAGTGCTGATCTTTCTTGAAGAGTGCAGCTTCCAACTTTTTCATCCATTTTTGTACAAATTATACAGAAAAACAGAAACTCTTGGGTTATTTGTAGCTATGTTTGTGTTCAAATTACTTCCATGAACACTTATTTTAATTAATATTTTAAAATATATTAAAAAGGTTTTTAGAATATTATAATAATGTATTTTTAATGTTTAGTACAACACAAAAGATAAATCAAGAACTCTTATATATGAAAGCTTTTATGGTTTGATTTGAGTAGTCTATGCTATTAGTTTTGTAAATTGTAAATTCTATATTAATTAAAGTATATAAGTAGATGTTAACTCATTTTACAAGTCAATTATTCAATTATTTGTAAGATTAGATAAATTAAAAATAGTTGAATAATTGACTTGTAAAATTACATTTTGAAAATTAATTTCCGTTTATTTTTTTTAACAGCCCTTTTAAATAGCTTTTTAAAGTAGGATTTCATTTCGCTTCCTACTTAAAAGGAAAACTATAAGTATTTATCATTGGCATTATTGAAAAATACCAATATTAGTTCGATTGAAAGTTTCCGACCTTGGAGAAAATCAAACTTAAAAAGTCTTTTATTATTTATATATTGTTTAATTTATCTATTTTTATGACATAAAATTTCATGTTTACAATTTTGACTAAGTTGATTCAATGGGTTGACCTAATGGCTAAATATTGTGTATAATGATTAAATACATTGCATTCCCACATACTTTACGAGGATCTTAACGCCAAGATTAGATTCTATCTGACTATTGTATTTAAGAATTCGACACAAAAAAAATCTAAATACAAGTGTCACATTATTTTAATATTTTTGATAAATTTAATTTCTCAGTACTAATAAAAAATTAATATTCAAAGATAATTTTAAACTGAAATATTTATTAAAAAAATCTTAATTTTTTAAATTTTAGTTATATTCAACCCGTTTTCAACGGGATCAACTGACGCAATTCATTTTCGACATACTAGTAAGGAATTGCAATTCTATCATCTATAATTATTATTAGTCCTATAACCACGTTATAAACATTGGTAATTGTAAAATAAAATAACTTACATATCTCAGTAATTTGGTAACAATTATCCACCAAACACATTTAACCCTTAGCACTGCATGGACAGATTTATAAATGTATAAATTCTATACTTTTTATTTTTAAAAAACATTTATGGTCAGATACAATAATAACAAAATATAGGAATAGATACATAAGACCAACTCTATTTATGCCAAAAAAAATGTAGTATTAATTTTTATCGTATTTATTTTTTACTTTCCTTATATTTATTTCTTCGTTTTCTTTTATGATTCTAAACTATAGTAATTTATTGCATGAAAATTAATAATTCATTCACAAAAAATGGTTTGAAAGGATGAAGTATGCGATGACGTTGGAGGGAGAGAAGCACGTCTGAGAGAAGTTGGGTTTTTAGCGTTATACAAGTAATACGCTCCTCCTCATTTCTTCGTAGAAAAATTCTTTAACCACAATAATGTCTTATTGATTGTTTTTATTTTTTTGTTTTATTCAGATTCATCGTTTGACCATGGAAATTTAGCATAATTTTCGTTACTTCTGACTTATGATTTTATTTATTTTTATTATTTTAATCTTCTTTACGTGCTTGGTGAGGTGTGACTAATGGTGAAGACGAAACAATACGATGAAGAAACTGATTTGTTGATTAATTAAGGAGTTCGATATCCAATTAATCAGATTATTTTAATACTTTTTGTTTGTTGCTCAAAGGTTAAAAAATCATTATTAATACAAAATATATATTAACTTATTTAATAAATGATTAATATCAGTAAAAATATTAGGCAGTGTGTCTATTTGGGATGTTATTATGATTAACTGTAATTAATAGTTAAGAAATTATACCAGCTTATAAAAAAACGTTAAAAAAAAAATATATTTTTGAAATAAACTAATTCAAACAGTTTTGTTTTGTTCTATGAATTGTTTATATATTTATGAAGAATTGTAGTACGTTGATGTGAGAGGGAAAAAGACGTCTAGTTATGAGGCTTGGGTTTTGAAGTCAAGTGATATGTTCCTTGTCCTTTCTTCATCAATATTTTTTTCCGCGACAACAATGTTTTGTTCGTTTCTTTTTTTTGTTTCACCATTGATTCTTCATTTGACCATGGAAAATTAATAGCAGTTTTCAGTGCATGGGGCCCTCAGTTCTGAAGGTATGTGTGATTTTTCCTATTTTTAAGGCTTCGTGTTGCTGCTGAATTTGTTTTTTTTAAGTAAAAATGAGTCTTTATTTAAGCATGAAGTACTAAATTTTAGGTTCAGGCTAGACTCACAAGTCATGCTCAATTTTATTAAATCTACAGAGGAGCAAGTTCATTAGGAATATATACAATAACAACAATAAGGGTTTAACATAATTTTCTATACAAAACCTTACAACAATGAATATTCATTCTTATACTTCAATTTCATATTTTTAATCTAATGTGAGACTTAGATTCATAATTGGAATTCTAATAATATTTTCCTTTAAAAGTGAAGTCCTTCTACATTGGTACACTCCCTTTCAAGAAAAGTATTCTTAACCATGAGTATTTTTGGTATCGTCGTTTATCTTAACTTCCATATCGGTACACGTACGCTCTCCTTTTAACAGAAGGATTTCCAACTACGAGTACCTCTTTTCGTACCATCTTTCATCTTAACAGAACACGCTTACCTGAAATCCTTTGTAAGGAAACCTAAAATCATTTGTTAGAAAGGATTTCCAACTACGAGTACCTCTTTTTGTATAATCTTTCATCTTAACAGAACATGCTTACTTGAAATCCTTTGTCAGGAAACCTAAAATCCTTTGTTAGGAAGACTCTCGATATATGAACCATTGTATTTGTCTGAGTCAGACGAACCATGATACCACTTGTTGGGTCTATAGAGAAGGTTCACAACAAGATACAACACCAATAAGATCTGAGTCCAACCACATAAAAGATTGATACCACTCTTTATCCAAAATCTTAAGACAATGAGTCTTTATCCTTATATGATACCTTATTTTCTTATTTTTATTCAATGTGAGACTTAGACTATTTAGAATTCTAACAAACTTTTGTTCTTATTTCATTTCCAGATAATTATTATTTATTATTATTATTCTAATTGTTTTATTACATTCATTAGTTTCATGTAGAGGTTGAAATAAAAAATTATTTAAATACATATTTTTTTCTTTAGTTTTTTAAAATATATTAAAAAAGTAAAAGTGTGATAAAAGTTTCAAAGAGAAAGTATTCCATGTTCAATTAATGTAAGAAATCTTGATTAGTCATTGTTTCATAAAGCAATTTAATTGAGATTTTAATATGATTTATTGTGGGCAATGTTCGATGCTATGTGTTTTAATCATTGTAATCCAGTAATTTAACGTTTTAAATTGTTATAATTATACTTTTACCAGTTTAATTTATTTATTTCAAACTCTTGAATTCCTTCTTTGTCAAAACGTTCACTGTAACTAAATTTACTCAATCATTTGAAACTCTCTTGTCAAAATCTATTTATCAAAGCCGATGAGCCGCCATTGCAGTCAAAATTTGTTAACGTTGGATAGACTAACACACTATATGATATATTTTTCTTTTTTCCCTTTGTAACATTAATCTCATACATATGTAGATTTAAAAACCAATTATATGCAATTTTTTTTCTAAAATACACGTGCATTATTTTACCCTTACAGGAATGGATTTGTTGGATGAACATTTTATTTATTCACGCATCATAATGCAAGAAACTTTTATAAATTTTTATCTTAATAAGTAAATTTAAAGTCTTAATAAATAAATAAACGAAGTTTACAATTATAAATTGATTTTATATTTCCAACATTTTATTTCACCCATCTTCAGTCCCTTCAGATCTGTTGATCCAAATAACACAACAGTCTCTTCTCCATTTCCTGAAATGCTTTTATTTCCTTTCCTTCAAATTTTCTCTGAAATCCAAAGAATACGTATTTCATACTTGAAAGAATGATGTTGTTAATAAATAGATAAAAGAATATAGAAGATATACTAACAAGTTTTAGAAGTTTTAATTTAGTATATTAGGAAGTCGAATTACTTAATTAAAGTTAGCGTATATAAAATGCAAACCCACCTATGTCCAACTGCAACGCACGGTCCTTTCCATGTGCCACGTTACTCATCAACGTCTTTCTACACTGATATTTTCAGTAAACAACAACACAGAATAAGGTTGTGATGAATTATTAAAAAGTAGATGTTACATCATCATATGAATATTCAGGGAGAAAGAGGATCTCTCAGAATTCAATCATGGAGAATTATGAATAAGTAAGTTGGATTATTAGGTTAAGACGAATGAAGGTCACTTTCATGTCCTCCTTCTTATATATTCTATAAATATAATATTTTGAGGTTCTAAATTAAAAATGGTATAAGTTGAACTATAAATTTAAGATCTAAGGTGATATGAAGACAAAATGATAGTGTGTAAGCGTGGAGAAGGCAAGGAAGGACATCGTCATAGTATTTGAATTATTAGTAATTGGCGATTGATGATGTTAATTACTAGATTGCTCAACCAAACCAATTAAACTGTGTGCTATTACAATAGTTTTGGATTAGATGGTCGGCAAATTTATACCTTTTCAACTAAACTTACATAGCCAGATGTCTCTTAAATGACCACAACTTTTTGTCTTCGGAGCAAATAATTGTACCCTTTTAAGACAAATAATATTATGGATATAAATTAATACACACATCATATATTTTTATATTTTTTTGCTCCACCAGAATATATATTTTAATTGCATCATACCATCATACATTGATTTTAAAACAATAGTTTACACCTTTTCTTTAAAAGAATATAGATTAGTAGTTATTTTATCACTTTTTTTATATCTATTATCTTCACACACAAAAAAAAATCATTTTACAAGTTTAAGATGACATTAAATTACTATATATTTTTAATCCATTTGTTTATATGAATCTCAAGTCTTTTACTCAGTTCTAATAAATAAGAGGAAAACAATCGTAAGAATCATATTATGAATAAGTATTATTTTACTCATAAATCTTCAAATTGGAGTGATAATCAACAGTTACTGCATGAATATAATTAAAATTTATAACGAACTCAGTTTCAGACATATATAAGAATATTTTTATCTGAACAGACTAAAGAATAAAAGGAACATAATATCACACATTTTTGCAACTAAAAGCACAAACAAAAGACTATGTTTGATAGACTAGAGAGAAAAATGGAGATCCGAGTCAATCAACGTTTCGTCTGCAAGGAACGAGTCAGATCAGTATAAAAATACAAGTTAATTTATGTTACCCGTGTTGGATAACATTTACCTTGTACAATAACTCATAATAAATTATTTATTTTATAATTTTTTTTAGTTATAACATTTAAAATAGATGCAAAATTTTAATAACCTTATTTTTTTATTTAATTAATTTAATAAAAAAATAAATGTTTATAAACTTATCTTTTAAAATAAGTGACATTCTTATTTTTATAATTTTTAATTTCTAAGCAGGTTTGTTAGAAATTTCATAATAAATATATATAACAAACAATAATAAAAAGTAAATTTGAAGTAAATAAAGTCAGTCAAATAAAATTGAGAACTAATAAAAAAAAAACTTCTATTTTTTCTGACAACAAATTTAGGTAATGTCTAATCCACATAATATTCATGTCAATGGACAAATTATAGGCTATTGATATACATTTTAGGACAAATCTACGCAATAGAGCATTTGGAAATCAGTCAATCCAACCTTTCATTGACCCGCAGAGCTACAAATTATGCAGGACAGACCTATAGACCTATGCATACCAGTTGATCATAGGAAATATGAGTTTTCGTAAGAAAAATGCACGAATCACCCACCACAGCTCACAACAGAACGAATTTATATTTCAACAGTTAGCAGGTATTGAAAAAATAAATTAAGTTCCATTTTCCCCTAAAAAAGCTGTAATTTTCCTCCACAAAACCTTTACGAAACCATAAAACTTCAATTACTCCATTAGACTCCGTTCTACAGGCTGAACATCTCGACAAGGGAAACCAATGCCTCGAATTAAATTTCAGGAAAAATCACGTAAGACAAAAGTGATCCCAAATCAAATTAGAATTCTCACACACAAAAGACAATAAAAAAGAGAAACAAAGAAATTCGACAACATTCTGTTTTACCAGCCTCAAATGGCATCCATATATGCCAACCGTATAAAACATTTATAAATGGTCCTCAGCAACAGATGCGAATGCATCCATCTACGCTTGAGAAGCTTACAGTTAAGAAAATATACCAGCTATTAGTGTACAACGAAGACAAACAGATTATGGCTTTCCATCTTGAAATGCAAATTTGTACCGATAAAAAACAATGGTTTACATAGTTCATAGTTGTGTTTCCCTTTGATTTTACAATTTCAAAATATTATAGACGAAAGGAACTCGACTCTCCCTTGCAACCAATAGGAGTTTAAGCCCAAGCTAAACCGAAGTAGCAGGCAGCAACCTTTTTGCAAAATTTCATTTCATACTTTCGCTCCCAGGAAGGACTGCGTCGGATAATAAGAAAATTTTAGAATATATTGGAGAATGAGTAAGTGTGAAAACATAAAATAGAGCATGTATTCAGTTCAGTGCTAAGTGATGCGGTATCATCACTTAAATTGAGTGCCAGATTAGGGGCATTACAGTTTAGCTAATTTTGGTCAAACACCAGGTGTCCGTGCTAAGTGATGTGATACCATCGCTTGAATTGAGTGCCAGATTAGGGACATTACAGTTTAGCTAGTTTTGACCAAACACCAAGTGTCCCCACGGGCACACCCTTTGTGGGCGGTACTGATTCCCACTTTGTAATCTGATGTCATGACCCTTCTCATAGGGTGCTTCCAAGTCCAAGCAATAAGATTCATAACCCACACAGCAGGTAAAATCTGCCTACATGGTATGGTTCTGCTATTCAGCGCAAACTTGCACTTTCTCAAGCCCAAACTAACAAATGCAAAAGAACCCATTAACTGATTGGGGTGGGAACAATACGAAACAACAGACACATCCAATACCTTTGGTTGCATAATGCAAGTTTAGTAGAAAGACTTAGTTACAGCATTTTAGTTTTCACTACTAAACATAGCTTCCTAGCAGGGTTAGCAAATGAAATAAGATCATTCTAATTATCCTAATCATGTTGAAAATGGCTAAATCCATGGAAATCCCACATAATTAATCCAATTGAACTCTATCAAGAAAATACCACAACATAACCTAGACAGTGGCGAATGTCTCCTCCAACGAGCCAGTCACCTCTTCCAAGCACAACCACCTCATTTCAATTTTGTAAAATCATGACAAATTCCTATTTCATGTAATACTTTTTGAAGTCTCAAAAATAAATTTTCAGTACGATATAAGAGCCCACCAGTGGGTAAAAAATTGCCAAATCACTACAGAGACTGAAACTCTGAAATATCTACATTTGCACAAAAGGGTTATACGTCAATAGAATTAGAAGATGGGTACCTACTGATGCCATGCAAACATTGTCAGCCAATACTCTATAAACTTCCTACCTTTACACCTGCTGGGGAGTTTCCAGGCTTAGCAGTGGTAGTACTTCCAAAATTGTGCTTTGTTTTTTTATCAGCTGGCTTTAATATTTGGAAAGAGCACATTAGTGTCTCGTCAACACTCATCATAGCACCGGCATTGTCAAACTCCCCACAATAATTAGGTGCTGAAAATATTGTTACAAGCTGTCGATTAGCAAAGAACTCGTATCCATCTTCCACAACCTGATAAGAAAATGTTGAAAATAAAAACAATTTATTTTCAAATAGCATAGTTGATTGAGACCTACTATCCCAGAATATAAACATGAAAGGAATGTAAAGTACAAAGCATCAGATGCTAAAGCTAATGCATGGCAGTTGAAGCAGTTTAGTTTAGGCTCATACATAAAGTTGTCCCATATACAAGGTAAAAAGTAATTCCCAGTTTAAAAAATTAAGTAGTTGTAGTAATGCTAAGAGATAGATTAAAATTGCTGGGGAAAAAGAACCTAATTTCAGTCATTGTAGTCATTGAAATACAAATGGATATACAAACTCAATCCAGAAGATCTGGGGTACCAAAGGCAGAAGTTTAACCTGATGTGCACGACAAACAAGATCAAGATCATGTTTCTGAAGAAACTCTGAGACCTTATCAGCACCAAATGTATATGAAACTCCTCTATCATTCATTCCCCATTCTTGAACTTCTTTGCTTGGGTCAGACCAAAGGAGATCACAAAGCAAACCTGTATCAGGAACATCTGTGGGCCGCTGTATATTTCGAATCTGATCCAAATTAAGTAAGTCAGGAGAAAGTCCTCCGTGCATACATAAAATCTTTTCATCAACAAGGGCTGCCACGGGCAGGCAATTGAAGCACTCTGTAAATGTCTTCCATAACCTTACATTGAACCTTCTCTTGCACTCATCATAAAATCCATATATCCGATTTATAGAAGCACATTCATGGTTTCCCCTTAACAGGAAAAAGTTCTCAGGATATTTTATTTTATAAGCAAGGAGAAGGCAAATTGTTTCTAAACTCTGTTTCCCTCGATCCACATAATCCCCCAGAAACAAGTAGTTGGCTTCAGGAGGTAATCCACCGTACTCAAAAAGCCTTAAGAGATCAGAATATTGGCCATGTACATCACCTGAAACATCAATATAAGGATATGAATAAAACTTCAAGAACATAGTTTTTTGTGTGTACAGCAATAGAGTATTACATACATGACTAACATCATCAGTGAGTATAAATGTGTAATATGTGAATGTGAATATGAATTATACTAAAAAAGTCTATATACCACTATAAGGACTGATTGAATTTGGATATAAAACAACTCATGTGCTTTCACTAGTTTTTCATAAGATTACATCAGATCCTCTATGACCATGTGATCTATAGAGTTCAATCCTTACTGCTCACATACTTTAAAATATAACTACAAATTCAGAAGCAAACACTGATGTCGTGTGGGAATAAATACATTAACATGAATTTTATTTGCAATCACTGCAAGATACATAAAAAATTATCGCATGATTTGATATTGCAGTATAAGTCAACTAAACCAGCATGAGATATACTGCTCGTACAAGTCCAGTGATGTTAATGGAGACATTTCACATGCTTGTTCCTTCTAATTTGACCATGTTTTTGTTTTACCCAAGAAAATCAATAAACAAACAATACAACTGATCACATTCTCAAAGCTCATTACATGATTATTTCACTTGTATGCTTTCATTCATCAAGTACATACAAACAAAAGAGACAAACCTCAATTTAAATTTTGTTCGATCAAGAAATAATTGTCCACTACAAATGAGTGATTGCAGTCCAGAAAAAACCTTCTCAGGAAGAGTAAAAAAGATAACCCCTAACCAAATAATCATGAAAAGTAATGATTAATGAAAATTAATTAACAACGTGTTCAAATCATAAGAGAGTTCCCCATGTTTGGTTTGGTATTCTTCCTAATGGAATGGGAGGGAAAGTATGGATTATATACAGTTGTATCCACATAAATGAAAAGAGCGGAGACTAAACAAATTATAATAGCAGGAAAATATAATCCGTCCCAAAATTTCCCTGCCCTGCAATTTTTTTAACCAAACGAGGTATGATTAAAAAAATCCCTCTCATCCACTTCTTTTAAACCAAAAAGACCTTAAAAATATCGAAGTAAATTGCAGCATACCCAATGCTCACTGCAAACTCATGCTTAACTTCCCAAAGCTCACATTAGGGTGAAATGTGAGGCGAAATGTTCTAAAAACTCTCGGTGTCCTCCATACATAAATTCACCAAGGACAAGGAAAGATAAAAAAGACAAACTTCAGTCAAATATAGGACGTGTGCAGATTTTATTTGACTTCATAGATTCATCAATGTTCGAGATTCTTTTCATATATTCGCTCCAACACACAGATTCGTCAAGAATTCACGCACACTTTTTAATTCTACTGCAGGGAATCTCATTCCACATATTCAACAAAAACAAAACACTTCAGCACCAGTCCAATCAAATCAGGATTCTCTACTGACCATATTTTGACTGCGGGTGCAGTCAGAGAAAGATAAATAAGAAAAAAGAAAAAAAAAAACAAGTGGCTCCCACTATCTGAAATACAATCTGTACATGCAGTTCAAACATTAAGCAAGCAATCCCTACTAATCCAGTTCAAAACACACTCGTCAGTAGACATGCGAATTATGAAAACTCCACGAAACATGCAATTAAAAGCACTCGGATCATGTCAAAACCTTCAAAATTAAGAATAATCGTCGGTGCTCGAGGTTTGAATTTGACGAAATTAGACAGAGAGAGCGAGGGAAGTAAAAAGAAAATTGAAATAGGGCTGAAAAGGAAAAGAAATTGACCACAAATCTTAATAGGCGCTTCGAGCTCCAATAAATTAGGTTGTTGCAAGAAAATGTCTCTGGAAACGACGCAGAGTTGACGGATCTCGGACTCCGATAGCTGAACCTGCTTCCCGGGTCGGGTACGAACTTCGAGGAGACGACTGATTATGTCATCCAAAACCGATTGCTCCATTCTCTTCTTCTTCCTTCAAAGTCAACGTCTCTATTCGATGCGATGATGCGAAGAAGAACAAGTACAGTAGGAGTTTGAGTTGAAGGAGTGAGCGAATAACATGCCTCAACTCAACACCGCAATCGTGGAGTGGTGGGAGTTGTCGTCGTTTTGAACGCAGGAGGTTGTCGTTTTGCAGCCCCTCAGGATTTTCCGCATTCCTTTCGGAGAAAAGGAGAGGGTTTCACTTTCTTCCTTTCTTTTATTCAAAAAAATACCAAAATCATAATTCCTTCTTCCACAGACTCGGCCTTCGCCTCAGTGAGTGCCAGAGCGTCATCTTGGTTTTTATTTTTAATTAATTATTAATTATTTATTTTCTTTTCTTCCATACCAAAAATCTCGCTTTTTAATTCGGCTTCACTCATTTTGTGTGTAACTTATGACTTTAATCTTAGTAAAATATCTTTAAATATATATATGATTCCCACAAATACAGCATATATAATTTTTTAAAATTTATTAATTTCAATACTTTTATGAAAAAATTCATGAATCAGTCAATCCAATCACACTAATCATCACGTATATTCTAAACTTTTAGTGGTTGAATATATTAATTAATTATAGATAAACTTGAAGATCAATAATTGCCAACTATGACAATCCTCTGTCTCATTCTCTGAAAATGGTCACAAATTCCAAGTAAAGAGACGTTCTTCATTAGTCTTCAGCATTTAATTTAGGAATTAAATATATTTTGTATTTTTAAATAATTATCAAAAATTGTATTTTTATTTTTAAACTAAATTATAACGTATTTATTTTTTTAATAAAACTTTCGTCTAAATAATCAGTATGTGAATTAATTTTATGTGAAAAAGAAAATTTCAACATACAATTGTTAAAAAAAATATTTTACATAAATTTTCTAAAATATAACAATAAAATACTTTCTAACTTGAATTAAGAATGAAATATAGTTTTAGAATAATATAAACATAAAAAACACATTTAATTCTTAATTTAATTTGTTGAACATTCTTAATTAATTTAAAAATTAAAAGATTACTACAATAAATATTTTAGCCTGCGAATCGTTTTCTACTTTATTAACATTATTCTATTTTCTTAACTACAGAATGAAAAGAGTCTTAACGACCGTACGACATTCCTTATGTTTTTTCTTTCAAAATAATATGTATATATATGCTTTCACGACAGTTCCTCTGTTATGAAATGAAAAAAATAATATTATAATAACATCTACAATTATCTGCACGGGCTTTACTAAGTTTCAGTTGTTCCATTTATTTATTTTAGTTTGAGGTTTTAATTAAATTGAATTTTTTTGAAGAAAGTAATTTGATAATTTAAATCGTTCTTTAGTGAGAGAATTTAAATTTCAATTAAACGATGGATGTTGTAACGGTTGCACATCCTAAGATAAAACAAAAAGACAAGGTGAGAAAAGGGTTTTATTTGTATGAGAGCAACTCATGACACTGGAAAGAGAAGGTTTGAGTAAGAAACATTCATATCATATCCTGCGAGACACTAAGAAGATGTTCCAAATACTCTGCTCCTAAGTCCTCCAACACCATCACATTTTGGGAAACCCTTTCTTCTTCTTCTTCCTGCACCTTATTCTTGAGCTTGTTCCTCTCACATTTTCTATTAATGGAGTGTCTCTTTTTCAACTCCAGAACAGGGGAACACCCTTGGTCAAAACCATACTCCATTTTCCGAAGCGATTGCCAAACCATCTCAGCCGGGAAGTTGAGCACCGCCATGGAGCCTCGCATGGCCAACGCAGCCTGGTCGTAAGCCAGAGCAGCAGCCTCGGCAGTGTCGAAGGTTCCCAACCAAACCCTGACTCCGTTCCTGGTGGAGTCCCTTATCTCCGCCGCGTACTTCCCCCACGGCCTCCTCCGAACCCCTCTGTACGAAACCGAAACCTCTGCTTCGGCGACACTTGAACCATGAGACAACGAAGATAACGATGATGTTATTGAGTGGGAGGAAGGTGCAGCAGGCTGAGCGAGGAGTTGGTAAAGGAGCATTTCTTGAGAGTCGTTTTCGTTGAAAGGAAGGGAACAGAATGAGGAAGTCATATTTGTTTGTGTATTGACGGAAATGGTGTGAGGAATGTGGTTAGTTATATAGGAATGGTGCATTGGCATTAGCCACTTGCAAGATATGGTGTGGTGATTAATGGGACCCAAGTTAAGGAAATGAGGGTGATGGGCAGACATGAGTCAAAGAAATCTGTGGGGGCGGCCACACTCTGCTGGGGTTCGCTTCCTTCAACACATTCATTGCATGACATCAAATATTCATGTCTGCTACTACCTTCCTCTTTCTCTCCTCTCTTCTCGGATCACTGCTATTCTTCGCCATGCACAGCACTTTTGTGCACGTAAGATTTCAGATATATGAAATTTCTCAGGTTAATAATAATAAAATTGTGTTTAGTATTTTAAAAATTCATGTGATATAACATACTTTATTAAAATTAAAGACTTCTTATGACAGATATTATAATAATCAAAAATGAGTTTTATATTAGGATAGATCTGTGTAGTAATTTTTATAAGATAAATATTAGAATATTTTATTTTTTAAATTACATATAGATATATAGCATTGAAGTGAATCAAAAAATATTTTTTTAATGGTTAGGATTATTTTAGAATTGTCAATGAAAAACTTGTTTGGAGAAATATATAATTTTTTTGGAGTTAAACTTATCATGGAAATTAATAAATAGTTTATTATACTTAGATATCGGTTATTTAACGGATGTTAGTTGAATGATTTTTTAATATAATTAAATTATTATGGGATTAATGATTTAAGAAAGAATTTATCAATTTAATAATGAATTTGAACTTTATATAAATAAAGATCTCTTGACCAGGATATTATAAATGAAAAAGTAAAAGTTTTATAAATGAAAAAATAAAATAAAAATTTAACTTATTCATTATGTGTTTAATTATTATTATGTATTTAATTATTAGAATTTGACGGTTATATTATATTTTAAAGTAATATAGACTTCTAAAAAGGAAATAAAATATTTTAAAAGTAAAAGATATTTTATACTATTTAGCCACTGTTGAAAGACACAAATCTAAAGAATCACATATTATGAAATATTATGTTTTTGTTGGATAAAAAATATACTAATTAAATTAGTGTTTAGTTTTATTGATATTTTTCTTTAAGTCAAATATTATTATATTTTTTGTTAGTATGAAAAATATAATTAATATAAATTTCAGAATCTGTTGTTGTTATTGATGGAGTGAGACTTAATCAAATAAGTTAGTAACAATATGATTTAAAAGAAAATCAATTATTTTTTTAACAATATGCACGTCCGTATCATACATGTTACTATGCTCGTTGGCAATCATTTCCATCAAATAAACCTTTCAAGCAAACAAGGTTATTATATATATTATATATATATTGAACTGAAAAGGGTTTTCGGAAGGTGTATTTTAATTTTTTTAATTGATTGCATAGGTATTTAATCTATATAAGATATAGATGTTAGTGATTTTATATGATGAAATTAAATATTTCAAAAATATTAATTTATTTTCGTATAGTTTTAAAATATTTTGTATATGTTCGTATTAATCATATTTAAATTTTATAGTTAAATATTTAATATAAAACAAATTTAATTTTAGAAAAATATTTTAATAAAAGTATATATTTTTTATTTTAATAGAAGTATACTTTTCTAAGTTATTTTAACAATTTGTAATCACAGCCTTATTAATTATTGGATTAGACTGAAAGTTTTATAGTATTATTCGAACTTAACTGTAAGATAACATTCTTTCACTCTAATAATTTGGATTTACATACAAAAGTTAGTATAAGAAATATAATTTTAAGTTAGTAATAAGAAATATAATTTTTGTATTTAAGATAAAGTGTGAAATACCATAAATAAATATTAAAATATGATGATGACTTATTACATATTAAAATATTTACATAATGTTGGTGACTTTATTATTATAAAATAATACTAAAATAGTATTAGAATAATAATATAAATTTTTTAGGTAATGATCGAAGGAGAAGTGAAATAAGGAAGTTTTGGAGTTGCATCAGTGAATCTTTCTTCTTAATTATTTTTCTTCATTTTCATTTTTTTTCTTTGATCAAAATTTTGTAAAGTAGCTTAGAGAAATTATTTAAAAAGTAGAGTTTTACTTGGACAAGTACTTTTAATATAAGAAAGTCTATTTATTTTTATAAGTTCTAAATTTATTTTAGTATTTATTTATTTTATTTTGGCGTTCTTGTTTTTAGTTTTATTTATCTGCTTATTGTTATTATTTTATTAGTGAGAGTTTTATATTCTCATTTTTATTTAATTATTATTATTTTATTAGTGAGGTTGATAATCTCATTTTTATTTATTTATTTTTATAATTTATTAGTGAAGTGTTATAATTTTATTTTATTTATTTACTTATTATTTTATTAACAAGGTGTTGATAATCTATCTTTTATTTATTTATTGTTATTATTTTGATTTTATTAGTGAGGTATTGATAATATCATTCCATCTCACTCTTACATGTGAAGTATTTGAACACAAAATAAACTTTTCATCTTTGGAGAAACTTCGAAATAGATGGTAACCACCCTTCACGTAGATAAGATGCAACAAAACCACATTCATGATGATAATAATTTTAACTCAAAAAGAAAAATATCAGTTTTAGTCAAAATAACATAGTTTAGACATCTTAAATATGGTAGACAAACACGGTAACATATTTGTAATTGAAATGTATTGTGTGACTGAGAAATAATTAGAGTGTATTGATATATGTTGGATGAATTATATGAATATGAATATTTCTAAGGATAAATGTCTATTAGTGTGACCTATACATTGGTGTAGGAAATGAGGTGAGAAGTCATCTTGACTCTACTAAATTCTCATACTCATATGCAGAAAGTATATATTTCACAAGTATTATTAAGGACTCATGACGAGTCTTTGATGTTGTAAATAAGAATGGACATACATATACATTTATGTGTTTATATATTCGACTTTTTAATAAAAATGTTTTAATTTAAAAAAATTACTTATATTTGTTGAAAAAATCTCAAATAGAAAAAAAAAACTAATCTCATCATGTCATTTATCTATCACATGATTTTGACTATTAAGAGATCATTATACTCGTCTGAGCTAGTTACTAACACGAACTAGGCTTTGATATTACTATTGGATTTATTGAGGATGAGGTTCACTGGAGATTTAAGTCTAACCGCATAAGGAATTGACACCACTCTCTACCCAAAACCTTAAGGCAATGAATTAATAGATCTTCAATTTTATATAGTGTTCTACTTTCTTATTTCTATTTAATGTGAAAATTAGACTCACACTTAGATTTTCAATATATACGTGATGGAATTATGGTTCCTTAAGGCCTTGTCCTTTTGAGTGGATTTGAGAGGATGGATTTGAGGGGATTTGAGAGGATTTGAAGATAATTTTTTTTGTCGTTTTTTTGAGCGAATTTGGAGGTAAATGAGAGTGAATTTGAAAATAAAATTTGTGAGAATTAGTATAGAATTATATTGACGTGACAAATTAAAAAAATTATTTTCAAATTCACTTTAATTTACCTCCAAATTCGCTCAAAAAAACGACAAAAAAAATTATCTTCAAATCCTCTCAAATCCCCTCAAATCCACTCCCTCAAATCCATTCAAAAGAACCAGCCCTAACAGTGATGATAAACTCAGCTGTTGTTCACGATTCTACCATTTTCACCATCTCCATATTTAACTCATGCCCAGTTACACACATTTTTTTTTACACTAATTTCAAATCCCTTTTCCCACCTTTCTATTTCCATGCAGTGGGAATGCTATTACAAACATTACCTTTTTCATCTATAAAATTTAGTTTCATTTTTATTTCTAGATAACTATCATTGAACAACGTAAAAACAACAAAAAAATGTTACCATATGCAAATAGGAATAAATTTGAACAAAGTTAGAGTGTCAAGAAAGGGCAGTCGTACACTAATAAAAACAAAAAAGAAAGCAGAAATAAATGAAACTGCAAATGGTCCATGCTTTCTTTGAGATTATCAGAACAATGCATGAACCTGTTACAATTGTTGACAATCGGTGCTGAAAGGTTTCAATCACTTTTAGTTATCTGATTTAACGTAACAAAATGCTGATAAAGAAATTGTAGTTTCTTTGGGACCAAAACCCACGCCAAAACACAATTTCAGTGTGTTTTTTCAACCTCAGTTCTCCGAAGTTAGTGTGCACATAACATAGGTGCATGTTAATCTGTAAGAAGGTCTGGGATTTTCAATGACTATGGAAGAAAATGTGGATAATAACGAAGAATGAAAATATTAAAAAAAAAAAAAAAAAAAAGAGACAGGGGGAATGAACGACAAAGAATTGATGAAGACGATGAACATGGTAGCTTTCTGCATGCTGGGTCAAAGTTATGGTTTGTGATTATGGTTTTGGTTGCAAGCACACGTGCATGAGAAAAAGACACGTCATAGTTAATTATAGTACACTGTTTCTTCTGCAATCAATAATTAATTATAAACTACAAAAATGTAAGTGGCCAATACAAAAATGGAAAGAGCTTTCAAAACCTCGTTTTAATTAAAACGTTGAAGGTTGAAGTTCGAAAGCGAAATCCTAATACGACGCCGCTGCTTACTGATATTTTATGAACCTAAATTATGTTCTTTCTTACACATCATATACTTCGTACGGTACAAAACACAGCCATGTAATATAATTAAAAATAATACTTTTATTATATTAAAAAATATTTTAAGTTTACTAAATTTAAAAAGGACTAAATATACGTTTGTAATAAATAAATTTGTACGTCAAATTATAATTCTTCTGGGTCTACAATTTCTACACGTTTTGTTTCTCTCAAACTTTAAAATGTATAAATATAACTTTTCAATCTAATAATGTAATAGTGAAAATAGCTTAAATATAAATTTGAAATGTCTTCTTAAAAAATCTAATTTAATTGGGTTATAATAATTATATTTATGATTTTTTAAAATTTGAGACATAAATAATATCTAATGTTATGTTAAAATAAAAATTAAAAGCATATTTAATTTATTTAAAAAACATTAATTCTTTTTATGTAATGTATTCATATTATTCTAAAAAAATATAACGTATATATANTCTTCTCGGATCACTGCTATTCTTCGCCATGCACAGCACTTTTGTGCACGTAAGATTTCAGATATATGAAATTTCTC